CATACATGTACCAGAATCCTCACTGAGCGTACACTCTCCATTCCTGAAAAAACTCGTTCTACTATTTCCTCTAAAGGTTTTTTATATTTATGTGTAAGCTGATTCTAACCTTTGGAATAATCTTCCTCATGAGATCAGTCATGCTATTTTCCTCCCTGACTTAAACTATTGCTTAAAACGCATCATTTCTACATTTCTTTAGCCTTATAGCACATTATTTCATTTGCTTCATGCCCATTATTTTTTAATTTCCCGTTCTGTATTACTTTATTTTTAATAAGTGTAAAGTCATGTGATAACTGTTTGTGTAAGAATGCTACATGCCTGAATTATTGGACAATACCTTCAAGATGGCTGTTGTACAAAACTATTTCTATGTACTGTATTATGTAGTGTAGAGTATACATGTACATCAGCAGTCCTTGTCATTCAACTACCGGTAAACTTTGAAAAAGCAAGTATGTATTGCCATCTCCAATTCTGGGGATTTTCTGCAAAATAATGAGTCTATTTGGTGTGTGGGGGGATACATATTTGTCTTATTAGTTGACGTAATTGATGCTCTTGGTTTGTTCCAGAACATCCACATTTTCCTGCATCCAACCTCCTGTTCTTCACCAGGTTTGTTATATGACAGGGGGTTTGACAAAGCTCTACCAAACGATTAAAGCCAATAAAGACTGTATTCCTGATCAGGGTGAGTAATAAAGACATTTCTGTGGTAATGGATGGAAATCATTGTAATGTACCTACATTGTACATGGGTACATGAACTGTACATGTACATCACACTTTGTTTACATGTGTGTGCACTTTCATATGGAGCCAATAGGAACCTATGCTCTACTGAGCATAGTAGGAAAGCTTACATACAGAGTGTGGTATCATCACAACAGAGGTCTGTTGCTAGATATGTGCAACACATTCTTGTGATGTTAAAATTTATTGAAATAAGGATATGTTTAAACATTTAAAAAAAACACAGTCATGTATAAATTTAGGGATTAAATGTGTAAATGATTTGCAATTTGTCATTGAGCTTGTTTTTTCTCAACAAAATCTTTACTGATTTAATCTGTCATGTTTCCCACAGTTACTGAAATGACTTTGTAATGTTGGTACACATACCAGTCATTTGTTAGAATGTCTTTTACTTGATACGGGGATAATTATTTTGCAGAACACGTAATTTTGACTTTGTCAATTGTGTTGGTTGATGTTTGTGTGATGAATGGTAAGAATAAATTTAAGAGCTTTGTAACTAATGTGTATTTTTCTCTTCAGAATCCCATTACTTTACTGATGAAGATGGCACATTTAATCCAACTGAACAAGGTGATAAATGTATGCCTAATTGTTTGGTTCACTTTGCTTATGAATGTATTTCAAGAATAGAAATAGGAAAACCTGCGTCAAAGTAAAAATTTTTGTGAACATAAACTGTCATTAAAATAGTTTGAGTGTTTTTTCACCACAAAGTATTTTTCACTTGTCACAGATCCCCTTGATAAATGGTGTTGATTTAAAAAGAGACGTTTCCAACCTGTAAAGCCCAAATCCATGCAACTTCATGCATATGTAGTACATACATGTACATCACCATCTTCTCCACTAGCTCTCCTTTCTCATAGTTGTCTTTAGTTTCATGGTCGAATTTAAGTCTTCACTTAATCATGTATTTTCAGTTCCCCTGCTAGCAAAACGATATCAGTTCATCAGGATTCTTGGTAAAGGTTGCTCAGCTACACTCATACAAGCTGTAGACACTTTCAGACCAGGCAACTACCAGGTAGCCATCAAAGTTCTCAACCAGGAATATTATGCATTGGGATATCAGGTTAGTAGGAGACTCAGCCCTTGAATACAAACACTCTTCTGGGGCACAGGTCTTTAATTATTAACCTAAACGTATTGTTATTAGTAGTCCTGCAGGAAGAGATTGGTTAACTTGCCTGTAATACATGTACAGTGTATTGCTGTTCATGTACACATGTACATGTATAAGAATATAAGTAGAAATTGAAAATATAAACTATAAAGTATAATTTAGCTTGTAATTCATTTACATGTTTTGTCTTTATTGACATGGTTGCATTAAGCTCCTCTTTTTACCAAAATCTATCTTCCTCAGTTGCTGATAGTTCCATCCATTCTAGGAATGTTAAGATCTGAAACTACATGTAGCAAACCCCAATGAATGATTTACCTGAAGTATTAATTAATTTCCAACATGTCCTTAGTTTGGAATGGGGCTTTTCTATGCATCAATATCTTGCATGAAGGAAAGTAAGCATAGCTGGCGTTATTCAGCAAGTAATTTTGTGTTCTCAGGAAACACTGAATGAAATGACCACTTCAGTGTGGTGCTTGCATTCAGCAATAATGAATTAGCTACCTATCCTTCAATTGTACTCAAGAAAGCCCTTAGGGTTTTGGAGTCCTTTTGCTGTCTGATCCCATTTGACCTAAAAACAGTGAACTCTTTCATAAGATACATGTACCTTTGATAACATTCTGCTGAAGAACCTGGCAAATTCAGAAGTTAGGAAAAATGTGGTGACTAAAGGCTGGCGCTGCTTTGTGATTTGTTTGTTCCTGGGTACGTTATTGTGCCATTGGAGAAACCTTTGGAGGAGGACTTTGTGTTGACAATGATTCAGCAGTGGTTCTTGTAATAGCTTGAGGCTATTTTTGACATTAATTGACATGATGAATGCAGACTGGTAAATCATAGAGTCATCCTACATGTACATGTAATCAAAAATCCATTCAGCACACTTACATGTACTATGGTGCATGTACATCCAAGTAGGAATATTAAATTTGTGACATTACTGTTATGCCCATCAAGTGTTGCAGGATTAGTTTATATTATTGAGCCATGTACCTGTCTTGTATTTGTCATGAAGTTGTACACAATGGGAAGGTGTTACAACACCATGGGAATGTTGCGATTTCTTTGGTGAAATTGGTTTTTGTGTAGGATTGCTAAAATGGCCAAAATGAAAACTTCGTATTCTGATATCATGTTTCTTTCAATTCAATAAACAAAGTGTCCAGTTTATATACAGATTTGCAATTTGCTTGACTCATGCCAGGATTGTTGAGATTGTTTAAGATATTTTGTTTTGCTTGATTCCAAAGGAAAGTAACAACATTGAGGGATTAAATCGGGGAGATCCTCAGGACTTCTCAGGAGCTGTTAGGTTGTTGGTAAGTCCTTATGCTTTGAAAAATCTTTGTGTTTTGGATGAATTCAATTGTAGTTTGTTGGAGTTTTCCTTGTACATATGCAATTTTACCCTGTAAGCAATGGGGAATTTTATTATTTGTAAATATGGTACATGTGCATGTAAATGTTCAAGAGAAATAAAACACCCATTAAATGGTCCAATAAAATAAAGACACTTAGGTAATTAGAAGGGTTTTAAATTCTAAGTCTGCCATGAACATGTAACAGCATGCTGTAAAATAAACTGCATGTGTAATACCTCATCTACTTTGATGATAATGAACTCTGCTTTTTGCTTGTTGAACTGTATAAGGGAAAACCTGGGTAGTCATTCCTGCTAAAAATCTTGTCACTCTGTCCAGCTTCAGCAGAAAGTGTGTGCGGTGCTTGAAATAACTCCACACTTGATAATACATTGTAGTTGAGACATATTCGCAAACAAGTGAGTTAAGATAGTAACTGTAGTACTTGTAGCATGGTCCATTAGATACCTGATGAACTAGCGCTTAGTCTATGATAAGTGGCTAGATTTTTTTAGTGTATACCTGTACATTTAGATCTGGACTAAAAGTGCGCATATTTTTACAACACCAGTGTAAAACAATACTTAGTACATGCTTGCTTTCTAAATATTTATCCATTGTAAAAGATCAATGTGATGTGATTTTAAAAAAAGTCTTTGTAACTTCAGGTTTTTATCCATTTCAAGTTTCAGTTGATTTTTCACTTTTATTGTCATTTTCAGGTCATTTGATCATGTTTGGTGCCTCTTTTTTGTGCCGGTGCAAATTCTGTATTGTAGGAAAAGCATGGCTCCATTTCACATGTTTCAGGAAGAATACACAAGGTTACAGTTCCATGTACATGTATTTCAACTGTGAAATTTGCAAAACTTTTTGATACTGTATATACTGTGCTATGAATGGGAGACAGTTGCAGTAATGATAATAGTTCATAATTCCCATGTGTTCCCAGTTACATATACATGTACATGCACTTGTACTGGTTCATGTACTTTATTTGTGTTTCATTTTCATGTAATGCAGTGCTGAAGTAACATACCGGTAGAGAGTGTCCACATATCAAAGTTTTAACACTGCCAATAATGGTCATTTTAAAATCCAGCCTCAGTTTTTCTTGCAGTGTATAAAATGGAAATGTGACCTGACTGATTGTCATGGTCTCAGAGCCTACAAAAGCAGAGTTCTGTTAAAGTTGGTCAGTGTGTATGCATTATGTCATGGCTTCATGTTTTTTTCTTATATCAGTACTTCAGATATTCTTGAATGGGCTTACTGCTGGAATGGAAGTTGATGAAATGAATGGATGAATGAATAATATAGTGCTTCATTTTTACGGGCAACTTTCTTGATTCATAATTACATCATTATAAATGCTGGATGAAAGAAAATTTTATTTCACTGCTGTGAAACATTTGAGTGATTGATACGCTGTATGCGGGCACTATGTTTTATGCACCCATCAGTCACTCACTAAGAATCAATGATGAAACGTTATGATTTGTCATGGCTATGGAATGAGAAACAGTATCAAGAACTAGACGAAACAAAAAGTGCCTGGATCAGTCATTGTGACAGATGGGTTTATACTGTGTACAAGATATTATGCTCTGAATTACCAACACTAGTGATCTTATTAAACACCATGTGCATTGCCAAATGTTATTGTACTGTACGTACATTGAAGACGCAGTCTGAAATACAAGTTTAACAGTTTACACAACAAACCAAGTGGATTTGGGAAGTTTTTAAGGAAAAAATATATTCATCCTCTTCTCTGAACGTCATTTGCATTTTTCCTGCAATTGAATGACCCAGGAGAATGTGTAGATGAAGTTACATGTTAGTCTGTTTATCAAGAAGGAGTCATAACATGTCAGTTGGACAGACAAACATCAGAGGCCACTGATGACATGACTTCAGCCTGGACTGAAAGTACATGTAGAGACTAGTTTGATAAGTCTGGCCTGCTAACATTCCTGTCACTGTCAGTATATTGACTGAAGACAAATACCTTCAGACTTGCATGTACATTGTATCTTGGGGCTTTATTGTTTCACTTGGGTGCCTTGCATATACATGTGTGTAGGTTGAGTCTAGAGGTTCAGGTGTAACACTCATCATTTCTAAGATAACCAATTATTTCTGCTGCTTTTTCATTGAATTCCATGTGTTTTACTTGGCAGTGTATATCTACAAAAGCCTGAACTTGCCGGTACAAATGGTACAGCAATTATGTTTTTTTCTATTTAAGAGTAATTATTCTCTCATATTTCAGACTGTTGAAGGTGAATGTACTTCTGTACTCTCTTCAGCACTTGGGATCTGACTGACCTTTTCAATGCACTTTTGAATGATTCCACCAGCACATATGCAACAAATCTTGGAGATTGGTTTTGGTTTCCTTTAATTCATTTTGATTTTTGTGATTTCTGCCGCCAACTGCCTTTTGACTTTTAGTCAAGAAAATACAACTTAAAAGCTAAACTTCTTGCAAAGAAAATTGTAGAAAAAGAATATATATTGCAATGGGCAAGTCAGGGAGTTAGGTTTCATTCTTTATTAATCCACAGTGAATTACATGTAGTGGAATGGGGTAAAATTTGAAAAGAAATTGCAGATTTTCAGGTGTGTGGCAGCATTTCCCCCTCCCCCAAATCTGAAAGGTAAATATTGCAGACTTTGAAATTGGAGTAGTTGGACCTTATTTGAAGATGTTGTGACGAAAGATAAATTTTCATCTCAGGTTTTCAGCTCTTTCATTTTTCCCCACAGAAAAAAAGATGTTAGCACAGTAGTTTTTACATTCAAAAGTGCAATAATAAATTGCATAATAACAGAAAAGAAGAATAATTTTCTTTCCCATTTATTCACCTCACTTCAATCTGCAGTTGTTGGCACATGTCATTGCACCAGAATTTCCATCATTGTAAGGATCTTGCTTCTGCTGCTCATAAGAGCCATTATTTCATTCTGTGGAATCATGCTACATGAACAGTTAAGCAAGATTTAAGAGTTACCATTGTCTTACAAAGTCTTTGCAATTAAACTCATGTGAATACATCATGCTTGTTTCAGAAATTGCTCCTACATGTACACTCTTTAGGAGTTGCTTGAGCCAGTTCAATTTACCAATCTTCTCTTCTTATTTCAGAATACATTCTCGTTCAGTGGTCACTTCTGCCTTGTTTTTGAACTCCTTCATCCAAAGCCTCTTCATCACTATTTCAAGAAAATCCCAACTGGATCAAAGGTAAGATCTTCACTCACTTGTGGTGTGCCAGGTGTTGGTATTAAAAGTTACATTCTTTTGACATGCAGTACCAAATAGAACTGTTCAGAGTAGGCTTCATGTAGTTTTAGAGGGTGAAAGTTAAGTAGCAAACTGTTTGTGAAACTCTGAGAAATAGTGAGGTCTCAGTTGAAGTTCACATCATGACCTGTACATGAATTTCTGAGGTTATCCTTTTGGGAACGGGAGGTAAGGAGGTTGAAAAGTCTTGTTAATAAGCTATAGTTTGGTGGTGTAAAACTCTGGCAGTTATATGTACTGGTAACTTAACCAGTGGTCGCGCACCTGGTACTGTTACATGTACCGTATTTTGTACCTATATTTGCCTTTAAGTTTCCCACAAAACCTCTGCATTTGTACTGACAACCATGGCAAGACCACATTTGACAAATCCCTGCACTCTCCACCTACAGTACTTGGTACTTTTACTCCATGAGACATGTGTAATTTTACACTCACTAATTAAGTCTGCATATTTGTATTACAGTAAGACTGCAAAGAGTAAATTACACTTTTGCTCTGTCTTAATGAGAATGTAAATTAGCATCATTGCAGGACACTGGTTGGAGTAATCAACCCTATGAAACAGACACTCTTAAATTGAAGTATCAACATCTAGTGTTCTATCCTGGGATGTAAATGTTGCCCGGTAACTGAGGCATTAAATAAAGTTATCTAATTTAGGTCCACGCTCCCTTTATTGCAGCTGGTCAGTATACACTGGTCAATTTCCCTCCCTCCTTTGACCATTGATTAGTTTTGAATTAGCCAACCCTGACCTATCTCTTGTCAAACCGCCTACTTGCCTGTGGTAGGTTCCAGCAGCTAATTTTCCCCAGGTCAGTAGATTATTACTGTAGATGCCCAGGCAGTGTTGATGGTCCCTGGATTGATGTGATGTCATCATGCAGAAGGCTTCAGCACAGAATCTTAGAGTTCGCTGAAATTGCTCATGGTCATAGAAAATTTACCAGCAGAGCTATAGACACGCACTAATCAATAGCAGCTCATTCGCTGTGATCACTACTCCCTGACCAGTCCGATCTCACTCTGCTGTGTCACCACATCTTCATGCAAGTTGCATCAAAGCCTACATGTATATGTAGATAGATTATTTGACAAACATGTACCTTAGAGATTTTATTAAAATGCAACCTTTTCAGTTGGTTACTGTCCAAGAAGAGAAAACTGTGTGAAGAATAAAGTACCTGTGCTGTAATCAATTTTGGAGATCTAGATATTTGTTTGAGCCGTCTAGGTTTTGTCCTGTTTTACTATTCCAAACTTTATAACTGGCATAACATACATATATTCCTGCAGAAACAAACAACAGTTGTGACTTAGCTCATTAATAGTGCAGATAGTACATGTATTTGCAGCCGGGTCATATTTCACACTTGATTGTGAAGTGAATTTACCATGGTAACAGCTAAATAATGAAAGTACAGTTGTCATGCAACCTGCTTTACATTTGCTAAGGAAATTATGAATTAGCTGCAGCAGTAAATTAATAAATTTAAAGATACTCCTTTTGGTTTATCAAACCTGATAGCATTACATTTTCATGCAGAAAGAGAGGCTAATCTGACTTGACATACACATCTATAAAATGGAGATAGTATTCACATCTAGGTCAAATTTCACACACACTTACATTTAGAAAGACTACAAACCGTCTTAGTATATCAATAAAGATCTGGAAAGGAAAATGTTGTATAATTCAATTATTCTTCATAAAATGTCATTTTCTCCTTCAAGGTTATGAGTTCAGGTGTCACTTGGACATATAATTGGTATCATTGTGAGTGTCTGAAATTACAGAATATACTGTATAAATAACCCGACACCTGTGTGTCAGCATTTTTCAATTTAGACAGTCATACATGTACTTAAGTGTCGTATAAGAGATGTCTAGTTCATGGATTCCTGAGCAACCCTAGCAACCAGATATTTTTATTAGTATGGTAAACCACATGTAGCATTTAGTCGTGGGCAACTAAAAGTACATGTACATGTACTTTGTTAGATGAAAACGATTTCCTGACTTAATAGAATGTTAATGTGACCCAGATACTGTGCGGTAGGTTTATCTGCTTGATTATATCTGAAAATCTGGGAGTAAAGGAGAATACCAGTTTCTTACCTTCCTTGCCAAGGCCCTACATACTGTACATGCCTCGGAACATTGCTCATGTTGAATCAAAATGAGCGTACTCTACATGTGTGTAGCAGCATTAATTAAGATTTTAGAAAAAATCAGTACATTCAATTGACTTGTCATTTGGAAAAAAGTTATCTTTCATGTCTTTTAAAGGGGAGAGAATAAGGATTACTGTCTTGTTGGTAACCACCAAATTGCACATTTGAAAAAAATCCTGTCCACTTCAATGAAAACACTTTACATAAAGGTACATGTCGGCCTACATGTACCTGTAGCTATAACTCTTTAGGCATTTTTGCAATCTTCAATTTTGCAGAAACTTAATGACTCTATTGTTGTAAAGCTTAAACTAGCAAAGTGTATCAAGACAAGCATTTGCCAGTCTGTACCTTTCAGAATGGGGTAAAATCCTTCAAATCACCTTGTTAATTTTAAAGGATCTACATGTACTTGAAAGATTAGGGTTTAATCTGTTCAGCAGGTGTTCATCCAGACTTATACCTTTTCAAAATGTTGGGAATTCAATGATTGAAACTTTGAGTCCAAGCCATCTGTATTCATTAATTTATACTGAAACTCTCTTTAATAAAAGGTTACGCTGATTTTACACTATCACTTTGTTGTAGTACAAATGAGTTTGGGTAGGTACTGGTAAGTCCAGTGCAGACTTCAGCGACAGCAGTCAGACAGTGATTTAACGTTTTGCCGTGCTTGACTAGGCACTACATCACTATCTATTCATGCAAGCCACCCACATGCCACGCTTGTAAGACAGACATCGTTTCAAATTACACAAAGATGAAAGAGTCCCGTTGAGCTGGCAATTTCCTTGATTCACTCCTGGACAGCTATATATATGTGTACTTCATCTGCCACCCTGCCGTGTCCATAGGCCAAGTCCCCATTCACTCACTGCCACTTTGGAAATAAAAACTGACTCTTTTACCTGAAGAATCAGTGCACCAAAGAAACAATCTCCAGCAAGATGTATCAGTTTACATACTACTTACTGCAGAAAAAATGGAATAGTCCATTTTCTTATGATATTTGTGCTTATCTAGTTTCATGACAGGGCTTGAAGAGTGAAGATTTTTGTGTAACTTTTTTGATTGATTACGGTGTTGGGGAGGTTGTCACGTACATTGATTCAACTCTTGATGAAATTGGATGAAATTCAGCTCCAGGCAGACTTTCATAAAAATGTGTGTCACCACCAAACGATTTATGTCTTTTTGGGAGAATCAAATTGTGACATGTTTCAGAGGCAAGATATTGTCACATTTTATTCCAGAAATGCATGATAATATTTAGAATACTTCTTAATGTATCCTTGGGTATTTACTGAAGATACATGTAGATGAAGATAAGAGTAGATTAAGTTTAATGCAGTACTTTCCCTTTATAGTTACCGTCTGGTTTGTACTGTGGTTACTGTCATCAGAAACAAAAGAAACTAAAAGAGCAGTTGGTATGATGACATTGTTTATAAAGTGTTTTTGAACCAGGAAAATAATTCAAGTCAGAGGTCTCCATGTGATGTGGTCAGATTGTTATTACTACAATTACAGTTTAGGATAGGATGAGATACATCATATGTCCCTCTCGACTCTCTCAGTAAAAGTCATCTTTCTCAACATCCATTAATAAAAAAAACTCTCCTCTGCATTACAATTTAAAATTTATTCAGTTTAAGTTGGCAGGATGTGGGGTTTTCATTCATCAGATTGGACTTATTTTCAAGAGATGCACTAACCTCACATTTTTTCCCACACTCTGAGCTCTGGAGTGTGGTATCAATATTGTGCTTTTTTATCATATACGTGTATCATCATGCCATCTCTGGATATCTTCACATTACTGGCTGGTTAGCTTGTGTATAACCAAGATCATTTGATATTAACACACCCAAGGATATAGGCTTTGACCCTGTACTTGGGAGGCAACCAGCTGGCCCTAATTACTTTTAATCTACAGCCATAGGTCTGGTATTACAGCAACAGAATGATTGATTGGTCCATTACAACAGCCGTAGGCTCCTATTGGTTGGCTAATTGTCGAGGGCCAATCCCTGTCAGACGTTGAGAAGGATTGTATGCAGATGAGGTGTCCTCTTTCAGCCGTTCATCAAGTTGGAAAAGTACGGCTGTCCAATCTTTCTAAATGGATTCTTATTACAGCATGTAGTTGGTGTTGGTTGGTAAAACAGACTTTAATACATTTGATTCAGGACTACAATTTGGTTATGAAGATATTTCATTTTATGATCACTGTAATTAACATATACAAGTACATACATTACATATACATCTTTCTTGATTGAATTTGTTACCCTCTGATTAGTGAACAGATTTAACTAAAAATGTCACTGCATTATAATGTGCAAGGAAATAATCACCTTTCATTTTGATATGAGCATGAAACAGTTTTACATTAGATAGGAATGTACATTTTAACCAACTTTCAACCAAAAAGGTTTTAAAAATAAATTGGCTGCCCGTTAACACACTGGATTAGTTGTCAAGATCATGATAAATACATGTACAGTGTACATGTAGGCAAGACTTTGTTGCAGTTTATAAGACCAGTATGGAGGTTTGTTTGTCCACATGTTAAGTAAATGTAATTAGTGTATGGTCAGTTTCATAAACTTGAACTATTACGATTCATCTTCATTATTTGCGCTGGCATTGCATGTACTGTGAGTCAGTACAAGATTCCCATGTCTATGCTTGAAGTTTGGTTGGCCCACCAATCACCAACTATATGTTATAATCCACTGTGGATTTTCCCACGGATGGAA